TTTCAGAAAAAATGATAATATTACTTAAAATTAATATAATTTTTCAAACGTGAAAATAAGAGATTCCTGAAGTATCCGACAAGAACAGAAAAGTCAAACTGATGTTAATTTGACATTATATCGATAAAGTTTAGGCAATTTATATATGTTATATAAAATAAAATAATACATTTTTTCTGATATAGCACAAAATTTGTGGCACCAAATCTTTGTCACTGGCGGAATTGTTATGATATATATTTACATGGTGATAATGCGTTTTTTCATAAAATAATATTATTGAGCAGCAAGTGGAGTTACTCTGATTTAGCTTCTGCAAGGCGCCCAGTTCCTCACTCAGATGAAGTATCAATTCCAATGTTTCACAATTACCGGAGCTTTCTAGGGATGAATCTACTCCCGGTCATGCCTCTTATGATGCACAACAAAATAACGACAGTGATTATGTTGGATCTTTATTAAGTCCTTACATTTTAACCAAAATGAGTTAAATGACTTCATGAGAGATCTCAGCCTTTGAAAAGAAGCTTCTGAATTAATTGTTTTTAGATTGAATGATAAGAATGTACTCGAATGTGGAACGAAAATTACATTCTACCGCACAAAGAAAGATATTTCCTACCCTTCTTCTCTCAGGAAAACAATTTTGTTTTCTGTCAAGATGTTAGAGGACTCATCATAAAAATGGGTATTCCTAAATATGAGGTTATAGATTTAATCTGACAACACTGGCCTCAATTAGCGTTGTTAATATACCAATTTATTTTGACGTTTTGACCATGTGGGTTGTGGTCCTTTTCAAAATACAATTAGAACTTTCTAAAACATATAAATACAATCAGACACTCTAATTAAAACAAAACGGGAACTGCAAATTTGAGACTTACAATGAGTTACAGCATTTCGTCTTTAAGATATAAGAGCAAATTATGATTCGGAGAGATTTAGCTTATGTCACAATAATAAAATTACATATCGAGTTACGTTTTTGTCTTTATACTTTGACAGAACTCACTGTACTAAAATTAATAACATTGCCAAGATAAGTATGTCGAAGGTTACATCAATTTCTAACGTTTTTGTCTTCATACTTTGACAGAACACACTGTACTAAATTTAATAACATCGCCAAGATAAGTATGTCGAAGGTTACATCAATTTCTAAACAAACAATCATACGCAGTGCTAAAACTTTCTGTGTCTTTTTGTAAATTAATTGTGGAATTTAATTTCTTAATAAAATACATCTCGATTTACTTCTCAATCGTCAGAATAAGATATATGAAAGGTTTTTCAATTTTAAATGTAGTAAATGGATAATTAATAATTCGGATAAAGAAGCACCGGATAACGTTCTTAGATTTCTGAGTTTGGGTGGAAAATTCGGATTGCCTTTTAATCATCACAGTGTAAGGGATTCTGAGTCGTTTGCACTTAATGTAATAAAAAATTTCGAATTAAATAGTCACCGACTGAAAGACAGTTTACTGAATGATACGCGTAATTGTATTGCTAATTCATTGAATAGATTCATTAAAAACAAAAGAAAACACCAATATTTTATAAGTAGACATATCCTAAACGAATTCTCAAAATGTAAAAAATATTTGGCAGACAATAGGGATATTTTTGTAATGCGAGCAGATGAGGAACAGGTCACTGTAATCATGAATAGGGGTAAATATTTGCAGCAAATGACAGAATTGTTAAATGATACATCGACATATAAAATTATGAAAAAAGATCCGATAAAAATTTATCTCAAAAAGTTAATGACTTATTGAAATCTTGGCATAATAACAATTTAATTGATGAACGTACTTATAATAATTTAAAATGCACTAACGGGAATACGCCGAGAGCATATGGATTGCCGAAGATCCATAAGGTAGGAACCCCTTAAGAATTATCATCTCATCTATTGGGAGTCCGTTGTATATGATGGCAAATTATTTACACACTATTTTACAAAATTTAATTCAAAAACCTCGTTCGTTTGTCAAGGATAGTTGGGCGTTTGCTAATTTAATTAATAATAAAGCCATTGAGTCAACTGAAATAATGGCTTCGTTAGACGTCACTTCACTCTATACTAATATCCCGAAGGAATTAGGCTCTTTGAAGTTGGCACGGCTTTTTTCGATTTTCAAAAAAAACATATGAGTTTTAGTAGCACTTTTAAGAGTTCTAGAGTTCCTGATAGGTTTCGCAAATAGTTCTGTCAATTTGAGGTCAAAAACGAATTTTTTAAAAATGTCGTGCTAACTTCCCGTAGCACGACACTTACGCAAAAAATTTTTTTTTTTCGTGTATATCGATAGATTTCGACGAGATCTAGAGTTCCTGATAGATTTTAACAATAGTTTCGGCGAACTATGCATTCTACGAGTTAAAAAAAAATTTAAACGATATTTGTAAAAATTGTATCTTGTTGTGCTAATAGAAATATTCATTTCTCATGGCGCAATTTGCGAGTTCTAGGATAGTTCTGACCTTCAAAATAATTTTCGACAATAGTTCTGTCGATTAACCATAATTAGCTTAATTAATTAATAAGCTATTATAGCACGACATCGCGAAAGAGTGTCGTGCTGGTAGAAATATCTATTTCTCTGGGCGCATTTTACGAGTTCTAGAATAGTTCTGACCTCCAAAATAATTTTCGACAATAGTTCTGTCGATTACCAGTAATTAACTTAAATAATTAATAAGATAATTATAGCACGACACTCGAGCAAAGGGTGTCGTGCTAAGTATATATCGCAGTTCTAAGGGGAATTTTGGCCAATTCTCGTAGAGTTCCATGCTCTGCAATTATTTTCAAAAATAGTTCCAGCGATTAAACATTTTTTAATAATTTTTTCAATTCTTTAATGTCCGATTTAAGCACGACACTCGAGCAGAGGGTGTCGTGCTGAGTATATATCGCAGTTCTAGGGGGAGTTTTGGCCAGTTCTCGTAGAGTTCTATGCTCTGCAATCATTTTCAAAGATAGTTCCGGCGATTAAACATTTTTTAATAATTTAAAAAATTTTTTAATGTTCGATTTCAGCACGACACTCGAGCAAAGGGTGTCGTGCTGAGTATATATCGCAGTTCTAGGGAAAACTATTAGGAAAACCTTGCTTTCGCAAATTCTTCAATAGTACGGTGTAGCACTTCATTTTTTGGCTACTGAATGAATCTTGGTGCAAAACAATGCAAGGCATAAGTTACCCTTCTTACTGCTCTGAATGCTGTTGCTTTTCCAACACCAAATTGGACATGTATTGAGCTGCGAAAATAAATATATATGCTACACAACTCTACATTTAAAAATAACAAAAACTATAATATATAAGAACGTAGATATTTAAAAATCGCCAGACAAAATTTAAAAAAGGTTATTTTTGTACATTCCAAGGCACGCATTACGTACCAAATAAAATGATGGCAAAACTTTTTCCACGCAATGCCGCTATAATTGAAAAAAAAAACAATATCAAATATGGTAAACAAATGGCTATCTGAAAACGCAAACGCAGTAATTAAGAGATTAACAAGTATTCATTGTAAATTCAATGTACGCCCTTCTGTTTGATATATAATACTCATTATAAATGTATCATATCAAGAAGAAAGACGTACATTGTAATCTGTTTTTTGGATCATCTTCAGCGCAATTAAATACTAAAACAAAATAATAACACTAAGAACGTAGATATTTGAGAATCGCCAGACAGAATTTAAAAAAGATAAATATCTTTTCTCGACCGTACTGGCAAATATTATTTATTCAATCACAACGTTTTGACCCTTCTTTGAGTCCTTATTAAGTGATCTAGATATACATAGACCAAGATTAATACATTTAAAAAAAAAAAAAATTACTTCACTAACAATATTACAAAATGATAAAAAGAAAAAAAAGCGAGATTTACTTGTAAAATTAAAAATAAAATTATAATTCTAAGATGTCAAGAACGAACATAGTGTCGGTTTGACAACACGTCAAGACTCTTAGACGAATTATTGGAGACTAAACGACCTTTATTATTGTGTCGTAAATATTACTTAGATTGTCGGTATCCTTTTGTAAATTAATAGCGTTATTAATAAAGAACATTTCAGCGATTTCTCTTTTTCTTACGTGTTTTTCACTATGCAAAATAACAGGCGAAGTCCAGTCAAAATCGTGATCAAATTCAATTTTATGTTTGCTGATAACTGATAAATTACTCGAATGCATTTTGATGTTGCTGAAATGTTCCTTTACACGTGTACAAAGATGTCTTTTTGTTTGTCCGATGTATGACACGTTGCAATCCCTACAATTAATTTTGTAAACTACTTCAGTTTTTTATCTGTAGGTAGTCTATCCTTGCCGAGTGCAATTAAATGGTTCAGTTTTTTAGGAACATTATGAACAACATTAAATCCGATATTTTTAAAAATTCGATCGATATCGCCTAAGCTATTAACATAAGGTAGTGAAATGAAAGGAGACTTATCAACAAAATTTCGCTCATTACTTGATTCATTCTGACTCGTGTCACGATAAAAAAATAATACATCATCGTAGATTAGAAAGAATGCTTATTGTTGAAAAGATGGCAGATAAAATTTTATTTAAAAATAACGCGCGGCTTAATGAAGGTAAACAGGAACATGCACGTTGAGGAAATTTCTGGAAAGAGGAAGAGAAAGAAAATCGAACAATGATTTTAAAAAGTACAAATATGATTTATATTTTAAAAATATTTTTACAGAACAAAATTCATTTGTTGATACCAAAATTCATATTATATATTGTTATGATTCGCTTGTTTTTTATGAGTAAAAATTTTACGAAATAAGTGTATGATTAAACAATCGTTATATTCACAATATTCGGTTCAAAGTACAAATATGGTTTATATTTAAAATATTTTTACAGAACAAAATTATTCACAAACATTGTGTATGTTCACACTTCGAAGGTTTCTTCTTCCTTTTTTTTTTTTTTTTTTTTTTTTATCGATTTAATGTGAACTTAATGAATAGCCGGGACCGCTCCGAAAGAACGCGAGGTAGATGGGCCCCGACAAAACCCAGCCGAAAATGGTTTGCTGCGCAATTGGCTGCCCAGGGGCGCCTTTACGAACGCCGCTAAGCAGCAATTCGCCATATAAGTCTGCTCCGATCAGGATTTCGATCGGGTCAGCGCTTGTTGGATTCGGATCGGCCAGATTGAGATCGCTTAGATAGCTCCAATCATAGTTGGAATTCGCCTTGTAAGGCGAATATTTTGTGAGAGATCTGAGAATCGACGCGGTTGTCGTGAACACGGGAGCAGCTTGATTGATCGGAGCGATCCGAATCTTAGCGGCGAATTGACAAGTTCCGGCGTTCATTCCGCCGACGGCGGAAATCGAGAGCGGTTGGCGAATGCGACGCATTCTGAGAGTTTGTGCGAGACGCTCCGTGATGAAGGTGATCTCCGAGCCTTGATCGAGAAGCGCTCGCACGGTGAGAGTCCGACCCGACGGTGCACCGACGGTGACGCGGGCCGTCGCGAGTAACATTTGCGGGAGCGCGACGCCTGTTAGCTGGGAGCATAATGCCGTGGCCGAAGTAATCGCGATGGAGTCTGATGACACACTCGACGAGGTTTCGTTTTTTTGAGAGACAGCGGATGCAGTTGAGGAAGAAGCCGAGTCAACGTGCAGCATCGAGTGATGCTTGCTTTGGCAAATTCTGCATGAGTATTGACTTGGACACGTTTGTACAGCGTGCTTTGCGCTCAAACAATTGACGCATCGCTTCGCTTTTAAAATGACTTCAAGGCGTTGACTCGGAGTCCTCCTCAAAAATTGCGGACATTTGTTGATGAAATGCGCGGCCCGACATAATGGGCACGATAAACCAGCGGCAGTGGCGTTAGCACTGGTAACCTTTGGCGCGCGCAAGAATTTGGAAGCATTAGCCGGAGAGATTTCCTCCAATGCACGAATGCGCGTGTCGAGAAATCGGTCGAGAGCTTCATACGAAGGAATGTTCGGGTCGTCACCGGTTTTTAACTTCCACGCTTTCCGAGTGGCGTGATCAAGTTTTTGCGTGACGCTAAAAACTAACATATCGCTCAACATTTGATCGGGTGATCGATTTAAATTTTTTAAAGAAGCGATAGCGCGATTCGCTTTGTCGCGAAGTGCGTTAAGTTCGACAGCGGATTCGCGAGCGACCGTCGGCAGAGAATATAGCGCTGATACGTGCACGTCGACGAGCCGTCGTTTATTGTCGAATCGTGAAACTAATGTTTTCCACGCGATCTCAAAATTATCCGCGGTGATTTGAATAGATTTTATAGTGTCGAACGCACGACCGGTGAGACTTGAAGCTAGGAAATGCATCCGCGAAAATGCAGTTAATTCGGTATTTTGAATTATGAGAGAAGTAAAGCGATCGCGGAAGCTCTCCCAGTCCTCGACATTTCCCGAAAACGGCGGTAGTTGAATCGGCGGCAAATGAGTTAAAGAAAAAGACGATGGTTCAGCGGTACTTATCGTGGACTGCGACAGGCTCGTTCTGGTGGGCGTTGGATCCAGCTCTTCGAGGCAGTCAGCCATGTAGTCGAGGGTTGTCTCGTAGTATTCCTCGCAATTTTCGAAAATCGTGTTCGAAAAGTAGTCCATGGTCCGCTGCTGCTCGGCGGTGAACGCTCGTGCCAAGATAGCGTGCTTCTCGATGCACCGTGTCCAGGTCTCCTTCAAGGTTGACATTCGTTGACGAATCTTAGCCGCCGTATAATTGGCTCTGCCAACTTTTTTAAAGTTGGAGAGCGCTCGCTCGACAGATTGAAGCATTGTTAGCTGCTGCGAGAGATGATCGCTCATCGTGTTGGCTGTCTCCACCTTGGGTGCGGGCGACACGATGACTCCGTCACTGAGGTCCAGCAGAGAGAGATAGAGAGAGAGACGACCGCACTGCTTTCACCGTGGGTTACCTCGATCCGGCTCGAAGGACCAAATGTATGTTCACACTTCGAAGGTTTCTTCTTCCTTTTTTTTTTTTTTTTTTTTTTATCGATTTAATGTGAACTTTAATGAATAGCCGGGACCGCTCCGAAAGAACGCGAGGTAGGAACCAAGGGAGCAGTGGCGTGGAGATACTGAAGGCGGAGTAACTTTGAATCGTTTAACTTTTGAAAAATATTATATTACTTGAGAGCATGTTCTCGCTCAACAGCTCCTTACAGAATAATGCGAGAATCGCCACGTACGGCGAAACTTCCTGATTTTCCCGACTGAGAAGGGGAACCAAAATCACGCATCAGCCGGATGACACGTGTCTAAATGGACGCAAACATCGGTGAACGCGAACCGAGGAGCGAAAACATTGACATAAGCTCCTTGGTGTTTTCAAATTTGAAGGTTTAACGAGCTGATCGATAGCCTTCTAATTATTATTTGTAGTCGTGTCTAAACATACCGCCCGCCTCGAAACCATCGTTTCGAAATGACTTGAACAACAAAAAAAGAGGGGCGACTGGTGAAGCGATCGGTATGTCGTTTGACAGAATGAGTTTAAAGCGATATCTGGAGTCTGACCTTAATTACGTAAGGTTGTCCAGGCTTTCGACGTCTATCGGAAGTAAGCATAATTTGACAATAGGCCGAGTATATTCGGAAGTCGCGGTTTTCACCGTCGCGACGCGAATCAAACCGTCTGGACCCGGGTGACATCGGATGACGCGAGCTAAGTCCCACTTACAAGGCGGAAGGAGAGAATTGCGTAACAGGACCAGTGACCCGACGCGAACTCCGTTTTTCGAAACTTGCTTCCATTTGACGCGTTGTTGCAAGGTATTGATGTAGTCCTGCTGCCAGATTTTCCAGAAACGTTCTGTGAGCTGGCGAACAAGTTGCCAGCGCGTCAAACGGTTCTCATTTAGATGCAGTACAGAGGGTTCAGGCGCGATCGTAATCGCGGATCCGATCAAGAAATGACCGGGCGTCAGAGAATCGCAATCGTCGACGGAATCAGTGAGAGGCGCGATAGGGCGCGAGTTTAGGCAGGCCTCAATGTTGCAGAGAATCGTTGTGAACTCTTCGAACGTAAGAGTGTGTGAACCGACGATTCTGCGAAGATGATACTTGACACTGCGAACCCCGGCCTCCCATAGTCCGCCGAAGTGAGGCGCGGATGGAGGCATAAAGTGCCATGACACCCCGTCGGAAGCGGCACTATTTTGAAAAGTTGGATCGCGCAGCGCGGCTCGAAATGATGCGGCCAATTCGCGATCGGCGCCTACAAAAGTGGTTCCATTATCAGAGTAGACTGATTCAGGCATGCCACGTCGGGAGCAGAATCTTGAAAAGGCGCCTAAGAAGGCTGGAGTGGAATAACTCTCGACTAATTCTAAATGTATGGCTCGCGTGGCCATACAGACGAAGATGGAGATGTAGGCTTTGCGGGAAGCGACACCGCGTCCCGACATTGATCTGATTAAAACGGGACCAGCATAATCGAGACCACAATTAATAAACGCGCGCGCAGGAGGAGAAACGCGCACCGAAGGCAAGTTTCCCATCAATTGATTGGGAGTAGCTGCCTTTTCACGCGTGCATACTACGCAGCGGAAAACGACAGCTTTGACGATATTTCGAGCACGCAATATCCAGTACTCTCGACGAAGAGTAGCTAGAGTTAATTGAGGCCCCGCGTGAAGAGATCTTAAATGCACGTGCTGCACGAGGAGGTTCACAAGAGGATGTGCAGCTAAGATTATAGGATGTTTTTCGGAGAACCGCATGGGGGCACGCGACAGCCGCCCGCCAACGCGGATTAGTTTGTCTTCGCCGAGAAATGGCGTGAAAGACAACAATGCACTCTTTGCTGGAATCGAACGTTGCTGCAACAACGATTCCTTTTCCCGCGCGAATAATTCTGATTGAATTTGCAACAACCAAAAGTCTCGTGCTTTTCTACATTCGAGCGCGGAAATTGACCGGGAGCCTTCGTCGCATGTGTCGCGCGGCACCGAGTGTCTTTTAAGCTTTGAGATGAATCTCATGATGTAGGCGGTGACACGAATTAAACGCGGCCACGAAGAGTACCGTGCGGCAAGGTCCCATGGTTTTCGTCGCGACACGAGATGAGACGCCGCGTTTTCTTTTCGCTCCATCGTGGGCATCGAAAGAGACGAATCGAATGGCGCCGGCCATTCGGATTCAGAAAAATGTAACCAAGCAGGTCCCCGCCACCAGAGCGTGTGAGAGGTAAAATTCTCACCGGGTATACCGCGTGACGCGCAATCCGCGGGGTTGTGATCAGTGGGGACGTGTCTCCATTGCGCGTTTGGGAGTCTAGATTGTATTTCAGAGACGCGATTCGCGACGAACGTCTTCCACTTTGATGGATGTTGCGCCACCCACGCGAGAACTACCGTGGAATCGGTCCAACAGTGGCAAGAATCTGCAGGGAGATGCAGGGATGATTTGACAAAATCGATTAGTTTCGCGAGTAACACGGCAGCGGCGAGTTCCAGCTGTGGAATACTTAATGTTTTTATCGGCGCGACTTTTGATTTTCCGATTAACAATCGTACTGTTATTTCACCGGATAACGAAACTATTCGAATATACACGGCGGCAGCGTAAGCGTGCGAAGATGCGTCTGCAAAACCGTGTAAGTCGCATCTGACGCAATCTGCACCGCGTTGAATCCAGCGGTCCAATTGAAGACCGTGCAGAGCGGCGAGAGATGAGCGAATGGAGTCCCAGCGATCGAGAATGTCAGCGGAAAGCACGTCGTCCCATCCGATTTTGAGCAGCCAGAGTTTCTGAAGGAAAATCTTCGCGACAACGGTAACCGGAGTACTCCACCCCAACGGATCGAACAATCTCGCGATAGTTGACAGGATCGACCGTTTGGTAGTCTGCTCGGAATGCGGAAGTGTGACGTTAAATTGAAAGGCGTCAGAGGACGGATTCCACCGGATGCCGAGAATTTTAAGATGGTCATCTGTTTGAAGCGTTTTATCGCAAACTAGGCCGTGATCTGCGCTAGCGATATCGCTGAGGAGTTGAGAAGAGTTGCTCGCCCATTTTCTCAGCTCGAATCGGCCTCGACGAAGCAACGCGCATACCTGCTCGCGAACTTGACGAAGGAGAGGTATGTCGTCCGCCCCGAAGAGAATGTCATCGACATAAGTATTTTGCTGCAGAACAATAGCAGCGAGTGGGAAAGAACTACCCTCATCTTGAGCAAGCTGACGAATGACGCGTAGCGCTAAAAATGGCGCACAGGCTGTGCCGTATGTGACAGTAGTGAGCTGATAAGCTCGAGCGGGTTCTGAAGGAGCGCCGCTCCATAGAATTCGCTGGTAATCGATGTCACGCGGGTCCATAACTATTTGGCGATACATTTTTGTTATATCGGCAGCATAAACGTAGCGGAACTGTCGCCAGCGCAGAATGACAGCCGATAAGTCCGCTTGTAACTTTGGCCCGGTGAGCAAGTGATTATTCAACGACGTTGAATTGGTCGTCAGACTCGACGCGTTAAATACGACTCGCAATCTTGTCGTAACGCTGCTGTCGCGAATGACAGGATGATGAGGGAGATACACTTCCTGCGAGGCAACTTGATCGCTCTTCACTTCGTTCATATGTCCTAATGATTCGTAGTCGTGCATAAATTCGGCGTAGGCCGCACGAAGGTCGGAATGTAGAAGGAAGCGACGATGCAATCCTCGCAGGAAGCGTTCAGCCGTGTGGCGCGAATCGCCGATGTCGATCGGCGGACCGTTCTTAAACGGAAGGCGCACTGTGTATCGACCGTCAGCACCGCGCGAATGCGTGGCTGTGAAATGCTCCTCACATTGCTGCTCTTCAGGGCTGAGGAGAGCCTGTCGAGGAGTTTCTTCGATTTCCCAGAATCGTCTGAGCTCCTGATCTAGAGCCTCCGAATTCGCGCAATGCTGAACGGTGATCGCTCGCGATTGCGTCGACAGCTCGGACATGGGCCCCGACAAAACCCAGCCGAAAATGGTTTGCTGCGCAATTGGCTGCCCAGGGGCGCCTTTACGAACGCCGCTAAGCAGCAATTCGCCATATAAGTCTGCTCCGATCAGGATTTCGATCGGGTCAGCGCTTGTTGGATTCGGATCGGCCAGATTGAGATCGCTTAGATAGCTCCAATCATAGTTGGAATTCGCCTTGTAAGGCGAATATTTTGTGAGAGATCTGAGAATCGACGCGGTTGTCGTGAACACGGGAGCAGCTTGATTGATCGGAGCGATCCGAATCTTAGCGGCGAATTGACAAGTTCCGGCGTTCATTCCGCCGACGGCGGAAATCGAGAGCGGTTGGCGAATGCGACGCATTCTGAGAGTTTGTGCGAGACGCTCCGTGATGAAGGTGATCTCCGAGCCTTGATCGAGAAGCGCTCGCACGGTGAGAGTCCGACCCGACGGTGCACCGACGGTGACGCGGGCCGTCGCGAGTAACATTTGCGGGAGCGCGACGCCTGTTAGCTGGGAGCATAATGCCGTGGCCGAAGTAATCGCGATGGAGTCTGATGACACACTCGACGAGGTTTCGTTTTTTTGAGAGACAGCGGATGCAGTTGAGGAAGAAGCCGAGTCAACGTGCAGCATCGAGTGATGCTTGCTTTGGCAAATTCTGCATGAGTATTGACTTGGACACGTTTGTACAGCGTGCTTTGCGCTCAAACAATTGACGCATCGCTTCGCTTTTAAAATGACTTCAAGGCGTTGACTCGGAGTCCTCCTCAAAAATTGCGGACATTTGTTGATGAAATGCGCGGCCCGACATAATGGGCACGATAAACCAGCGGCAGTGGCGTTAGCACTGGTAACCTTTGGCGCGCG